TAAAGAGAGTGCCTACGACAGATGCGGGGGACACGGCGCCCTTTGTAAGGCTGGGCCACCACATAGAGGCACTGGTGGAAATGTTGGAGGACGGCAAAAGGCGGTCCATTCACCAAGCCATGAGGGATGCCATTGAGGGCATCAGAATGACCTACGAGCAGTGTGCGCTGCTAAGGGACCAGACGAGGGCCGATCCGAGTGGCAAGGCCGACAAGGTCGATCAAGCCGCTCAAACGACCCCTCCTCGTAATTTAGGAGGGGTGAGCAAAAAAGACGCTCCAGAGTCCGACCCGAAGATAAGCGCTTCAAAGAGGAGACAGCCCGGCGACATAGACGTACCAACTACCAAGCGTCGTAACGTGGCCAGTGGGCCCAAGAGGGTCGCACAGAAGCCCACCGACCAGAGTACGCGGGCTACAGGCGAGGGCTGGCAACAAGTGACGGCCAGAAAAAAAAAGAACCGCACACTGCAAATCCGTAGAGGGAAACCGGACGCCATCGTTATAGCTGCGACCGGCAAGCTCTCCTACGCTGAAATGCTGCGTAAGGTCAAAGGCGAGCCCAAACTGAAGCAGCTAAATGAAGTGGTCCACAAAATCAAGAGGACACAGAAAGGCGACCTACTGCTGCAACTGGACAAAAACGGAAAGAAAACGGAAGAGCTGAAGAATGCAGTGAGCTCCCTGCTAGGGGACCAGGCGGCAGTAAGAAGCCTGAAGCAACGCGGTACAGTCGAATGCAGGGATGTCGACGAAATCACCTCAAAGAGGGACATTTGCGAGGCCATAAAGAGCCAATATGGGCTGGCAAAGGCAGAGGTAGTTGGCCTGAGAAAGGCCTACGGCGGTACGCAAACGGCAATAATCAGCCTGTCGCAAGAGGAAGCCAACAAGCTGCTAGCTGGTGGCAAATTAAGAGTAGGCTGGGTGGTGTGCCGACTAAGGGAGCACAGAGCACTGGTGAAGTGTTACCGCTGCTTGGAATTCGGACACATTGCCAAGCAATGTAAAGCAATATGCGACCGCTCAAAGGTCTGCCGACGATGCGTAGAGGATTGGCACATCGCAAAAGTGTGCTCCAAAGATCCCCTGTGCTTTTCTTGTAAAGGCGTACCAAAAGCTGACGCTAAACACGTATCGGGGAGCAGTAAGTGCCCGTTATTCAAACGAGCTTTAGCTGCTAGAGGACGCAAATGAGAATCATGCAAATTAACCTCAATCACGGCGAGGCAGCTCATGACCTTCTTCGGCAAACGGTCGGTGAGAAAGAGATGGACCTAGTACTACTGAGTGAACCATATCGCAAGGCAAGTCAGGGCATCTGGGTAACCGATGCGTCCAAAAAAGCAGCAATTTGGGCGCCTGGTCCTATAGCACTCTTGGATGGGGACTGCCAGCACAGCGGATTCGTCAGGGCGACAGCTAAATATATATGCTTCTATAGTTGCTACGCTCCTCCAAGCTGGACACAAAGCGAATTTCAAACCATGCTAGATGAATTTGTCGCAGATGCCCGGGAGAACCCTTCCGTATTAATTGCGGGGGATTTCAACGCTTGGGCCTTCGAGTGGGGCAGTAAGGCCTGATATGCGACAGGACGCAGCTTGCTGGAGGCTTTGGCCATGCTGAAAGTATCTCTTCTGAACGATGGGCAGCGAGATACGTTTCGTAAGGCAGGAAGGGGCTCGAAAGTAGACCTCGCCTTTGTTAGCGACGGTCTAGTGACCAGATGCAAGTGGTCAATGAGCAAGGAGTACACAAATATCGATCACCAGGCCATCTTCGTCGACATAGCATCTAGAGAGGACAGAGGTAATAGGAGGAACAAAACTACCAGGCCGAGGTGGAGAGATGCACCTTTTGATGGGGATGTTTTTAACACCATTATGGACTCCTATGTGGTTGGAGACGGTACAGCTGGTAAACTCCGGCAAAACATAGCAAAGTTGCTGGTACAAGCATGCGACGCCGCAATGCCCCGAAGACGAAATACACGGAGAAGAGGGTCTCCGTGCCATTGGTGGACCGAAGAGATAGCGTCCCTAAGAGCGAACTGCTTGAAAGCCAGAAGAAAAATGCAGCGCTCGAGAGGTAGGGAAAACTTCAATGATCTGTTCCTACCCTACAGACACCTGCGCAGTGACTTAAAGAAAGCCATAAAGGCCAGCAAAAGGAGAAGTTTTGAGGAAATATGCCAGGATGCCGCTGTTAACGGAACGGCATATAAAGTGGCCTTGAAGAAGATCAAAGGACAGTAAATACCGCAAATCACGTGTCCGCTCGCGCTCCGAGGAATAGTAGCAACACTTTTCCCGCAGAGGCCGCCGTATGTGTTGGTAAACCTCCTCGACAGGGAAGAGGAAGCCATACGAGCAATTTCTACCGACGAGCTTTTAAGCGCCTGCAAGAGGATTGGGGACAAAAAAACCCCTGGCCCAGATGGAGTCCCAATCAAGGCCTTAAAGGCAGCGATACGAAGGAGGTCAGACGTCTTCATGATGTTGCTGCAAAGGTGCCTGGAAGAAAGGACGTTCCCGGACGTATGGAAGATCCAAACGCTGGTCCATATTCCGAAGGCCAATAAGCCACTGAACGAGCCATCGTCATACCGACCCACCTGCCTGTTGGACACAATGGGCAAGGTATTGGAAAGGGTCGTATATGAACGTCTGCTAGCTGTGGTTGAAGAAAGACGTGCTCTCTCGAATAACCATTATGGATTCCGTAGAGCGTGGTCTACAATAGATGCCATAATCCATGTCGTGGCGCTTGCCTCAGACACCATAGCCGGAGACCGATGGAGGGACGGTGATAAAAAGTACTGAGCCGTCGTTACGCTAGACGTAAAAAACGCTTTCAACTCGGCGGACTGGGGGATTATCCGCAAAACCCTCGTAAGGGTACAGGTTCCAAGGTATATACTTGAGATAGTAACAAGCTACCTTTCGAACCGCACGTTAGTGTACGACAGCGATGATGGAAAACAATCGCATAAAATAACGGCGGGTGTTCCGCAGGGGTCAGCCCTTGGTCCTCTCCTGTGGAATATAATGTACAACGGCGTCTTTGAACTTAAACTTACTACAGGGGCAACGATCGTCGGCTTTGCTGATGATATAGTAGTCGTAGTGACTGCAAAACACGTCGCGCAGGTAGAAGCGAGAGCTAACGAGGCTATCGTGAAA